CGTCAGTGAGGCGCAGATCGATCAGTGTTTGACATCCGCGAGAGCAATTTGAAAACGTACGGAGCAGTCTGCTCGCGGTATCTTACTATAGCCTAATACACCGATAGGTCTGCACAGTCGGTCCGTTACTGTGACACTCAGAGATGTGGTTCACACGTGAGTATTTAGTGTGAATGCGTCCCAGCCCCCAAAATTCAAAATGGGAAGTTTTTATACTTAAAATACAGTTAGTTAGGCAACATCACACAAGGTTTTCACCATTACGACTGTTTAATAGTTCTATAAACAGTTCAATAAGCAAATACAATAATATTAGGTCACTTACATTTTAAGCGGAACACAGCGCATCTCACAGCAACCAGCCGATTTCATTGCTGATTGATTCCGTGTTTTGAACGAATCGGCTGAGTCAAAGTTTCATTAGCCCATGCATAAACATCTGATGAATCTGCCGTTTGAACGAATCGTTTGAATGAACGACTCAATGACTCACTCATTAAACGTTTACTACTGGCACCTACTGGCGTTTTAATTTAGTTGAAAAGTATCATTCATATATATATATATAAGCTCGATACCATAAATATATTATAACCTCTGAGTCAGAGCAGCGATCATGGAAGAGAGAGCACAGGCAGACAGCGCTGGAAGCTGCTAATGCTCATCAGTAAATCAGTAGAAAATGAATAGAAATGACGATTCTGTCTGAGCTAGGTGATTCTGTCACACGCACTAGTGTAAATGTAGCTAACAGATGTGTAAACTGAAGACTATTTGAGCTTTATTAAAACTATTTGCACTGATTTTTTGTTTGTTACATTTTGTTCCTTTGTGCAGTGGCTTTGAGTCTGTATAAACATCAACAAGCTGAAAAATAAAACCAACGTTTTTTTTTTTTCAGATAATGTAATCTTGTTCAAATAGATTTCATAAAATTGGTATCGAAAAAAGTATCGTTCAGGAACCGGTATCGAAGTCAAGGTATCAGTATCGATATCGACAATTTTTGAACGATACCCAGCCCTACTTACGGGTTTGGAACAACACGAGGGTGAGTAATTAATGACAGAATTGTCATTTTTGGGTGAACTAACCCTTTAAGCTTGATGCTTATTGAACGTTATTTGCTAGAAAATTACAAAGTAAAGCAAAGAAAACAAAACAAACGAGTTTTTAAAGTTTATTTAGACATCCTAAAGGTTAGTAACAGGGTTGCAAACATGGTAAACCTCAAAATGAACAGAAAACAAAACTGTCCATTTGTAAGAAAGAAAAACTAAATTGTATACCGTACATGGAAGGTGACAGACAGTGTTATATTACTATCAGTGAGATTTTATTCGTTTTTATTATTTGGAAATATAACTTTAACTTTATTTTTGTATAATTTATATGAATTTGACAATTTTATAATTTAATTAATTTTAGTTTTTCACCATTTATATTTATTTTTTAATGTCTATACAATTATTTTTTATTTCAGTTTTAGTTTAGTACACAAAGTTGTGACTAAATAAAAATGAGAAATTAGCTGAAATGAAATGAGTTTTTTATACTCATATTTAATATTTTTTCAGTTCAAGTTTATTTTATTACATGTTTTTAACTGTGTCAGTTTTAGTTTACTATAAACTGGCGGCCATATATATATATATATATATATATATATATATATATATATAAAAAAAACAAAACAATTAAGTCATATTTAAACAAGCCCTACATTTTAGTAACAAGGTTGCAAAGTTCATAAACCTCATAAAATGAACAAAAAAACAAAAGCACAGATAATTTTAAAGAAAAATGTTTTAATTGCATGTAACCAATGGAAAGTGACGGTTATAATTAGTGTGATCTCATAGACTGACCTGTCCAGCTTCAGTCTTCTCACTGCACCACTTCCCGAGGTCTGTCATGCATCGCTGCTGCAGCTCCGGATCCAGCTTCACATCCAGAGCCCTCTGGTGGAGGATCCTCTGCACCTCCGTCTTACAGTCCCGAGATAACTGCAGATCGACTCGGACGCATTAGCACATACTTATACACACACACACACACACACACACCTAAAGCAAACAAACAGACCCACAACCAATCAATCAGACACGCACACACAGTTCTGGATCCTTCTACAAACAGCGATCCGTGTGCACGTGTTTAACGGGTGTCATGAAATTTGATACCATTACCATAAGCGTTACACAAGTATCGTCTATTTTTAGATTAGTCTGTAAAAAAAACTCCCAAGACCCACATCATCCGAGTTCATTTCCTGTCAATCAATACTCATTTAAAGCCCGCAGCATGGATTCATGTGATTTCAGTCTCGGCAAAGGAGGGTGATTTTGAGTCGTCCCTGCTAATTTGCTGAGAACATGTATTTGTAGCTTGATCACATTTACTCTTAGAGTGAACGTCACCAGACCTGTCAGGAACATAACCGAGTCATATTTCACAGCAAAAACCAACTAAGATATATATCCTGAATTCCATTTTGAGACCATAAAGATTTTCTGCACTGTGACATCAATTTATGCTGTTTATAATAAAAAATGTAAGACAAATAAGTACTAGTTAACTAAAAAGTATATAATTTGACTTGTGAATTATTTATTTAATATAGATTATTTTATTACTGAATTAAGGTAATGATAATTGAGGGAGGTTGCTTATTTTACATGAAAATAATGTAACAATGCATAAAATGTTAATAGGAAAAACTGTTTGCGTGCTAAATAACTGATTTCTCCTCTTGTTTCCAAGGTGAAATGCAGCTTAGTCGTGTTTTTGATAGGTTTGTGAGATTCCCCTCTTTGAGGAACCAGAAGATACTTACATTCAAACTCACTTCAGAAGTTTCTGATGAAGCCTATAGTTGCATTTAGGAAGCCTCAGATAAGCTATAGTTTCTCAATGTCCTATTTTCTGATAACTCACAATGCAGAAGTGTAACATGAGGGTGTTCAGTGAGTGTCAGTCGTACCCGTCGTCCCTGCATCTCGGTGCGGTAAGCGTGCCGGTGCAGACAGGAGAAAACGGCTCCGGGAGGCATGAACTCGCTGGTCTCGTTCCAGCCGTGAGTGTGACAGATGCGGGCCGCATCGTTCTGACACTTTTTGTACAGGATAGGGTCCAGTCTGTAACCAGAAGCACAGGGAAATGTTTGAACATGAACTCACATTTAGCCCAACAGACACATGAACAGGAACTTTCAAAGCTGTTTGCTGACAGGGTCTCGGTTAAAGAGAATCAGAGAAACAAATCTCAGGTGTTTAAGATCATGATCGAACACAAAATGAACCTTGCTGTGACAGTACTTTTGACCTGCTCAACAAAACAAAAACTAAACTAAACTAAACAAACAAAAAATTCTAATAACTAAAAAAAAAAAAGAAACCTAAGCAAATAAAAAAAACAAACAAAAAAACAAGTAAAACAAAAACTACTGATAAATAAACAAAAAAAACCCCAAAAACAACACAAAAAACTAATGTAATAACAAAAACAATTAAAAAAACAAAAATAAAAAACAAACAAAAACCAAGCAAAACAAAAAAGTAACAAAAGACCTAATGATAAATAAACAAAAAATAAACAAAAACAACAGCAGAAACAAACAACACAAAATAAAATACACCTTTAACCCATTTAATCCCACCGGTCACAATAGAGATCGTGAAAAAGGTTTCCATTAATACAGCTCTAAAAACATTACTGACCAAATATGGCAAATCTGGAGAAGATAAAGAGTCTGAAGTAAATATCTGCAGTTTCAGGAGTCTAGTGGAGATCGTCACGTGACCAGAGCAGTTTCATTCCTGTTTGTAGCTTCAGAAGATGATGGCTGCAATCAAGCTCCAGAACAAAAGCTAGTGAAGTATGCTAACATCAGGTTTCTGGTGCACATTATCTGTGAGGTGTCTAGTATTAATATATGAGTGCACATATCTTCAGCTGAGCGTCGTCGTAGAACGAGTGAACACCTCGATGCTCACAATAGCGGCGCGAGGGATAACAGTGAACTTAACGTTATACAATATCAATACAACTGCAGTTGTTAGCGAAAATTGCACTAAAATGTTGCAATGACAAAATACTGCATTAAATTAAAATGTTACAATTAAGCTACAATATTAATGTTGTAATACTTCAAAAACGTTGATGGTTGTAATTTTTTGTCTTTTATCTCAGTACTCCTGTCAGTGTTATATAAGGATTTTTTATGCATAATAGTAACCCTATAATGTGATCGAACAGTTAAAAATAGCTGGGCTGAAATATATAACACTTTTTATGACTGCAGAAATACGTTAATTCAGTACGCGCATTATCCCACCGGCCATTAAACAGAATTTTTCACACACTTTTCCAAAGAAAAAAATTCTGAAAATAATTATTGATTATTTCAAAGGGTTACTAACGACACATCATTTGGATATTTTCATGTCTGGGAAAACTTTGGGATTAAACGGGTTAATCCTTAAATGCATACCTCGGGTCTTTAGTGACCCGGGACGTCATTCACTACCTTCTCCCTCCTTCATTTTTTAAAGTTAGACATCAACCTTCTTAGTATTCCTCAATTTATTATAAACACTAGAACAAGAAAATAAAATCATAAAAGAATTTTGGTTTTCTGAATTTTTTTCTAAAAAGTGTATAGAGTCGCTAGCGTCCTGAGGTATGTAAATTGTTTGATACACAATGACGACGTGATGATTTACTCACAATTACCGCAGGCATAAAACAAAAGAATGTCATCACCAAATAATGAACTGGTGGATGTGGTGAATAAGCTGCCAGCGATCAAAATATTGATTTTGAAGACGCCGAAAACCATAGATTTGAAATATGGTTGAGATCACAAACATGAGGCAGATGCTGAATGCACCGGGGAAATTCACTCTGACGATGACAGTTAAATCAAGTTGAACCCTTCTAAGTTTCATAAGGTAATGAAACTTGCTTTATTTTATTATTTTGTAATAGTTGCAATATCAGGGGGTTTTATCCTATTGCAGCACTTAGAGATCCATCAGTGCTAGATATATAGGTCCGGGTCACTAAAGATCCAAATATGTAACAATAACTGGTGAAACATTCATGTATTGTAGGGTTAAATTAATTGCCACTTTTAAATATTACCACTTTAATACCTAGCTGTGTCTGTCGTTTTGGGCTCAATCCTGTCACCACGTGATTTCCCCATTACAAAAAAAGAGACATTCCTTAAAATTGAGACACACAAGAAGCCCTACTGCATTCTTGAGGGGGGGGGGGATAAGGAAGAACCTGAAGTGTGTCATTCAAATTATTTATAACCAGGATTGTTAAAATGAAAAGTGTGGAATGAAACCTAAAGGCAGAACAACTCTTATGAGTTTCGTGACTCACTTCCAGTCTCTGGAGATGAAGTACTGCAGCTCCAGCAATCTGTGTTCACAGTCTTCAACCATCTTATCAGTGTACAGATGCTCCATCAGACAAGACAGGATCCTACACACACACACACACACACACAATATGAACAAAACTGACAGAAACAAGGTCAAATGTAAAGATCAATCAACAGCATACTGGAAAGTTTATGGCAGAACGGGTTTGTTCAGTGCGATTATTGCAGTGTCATATGCAGTGCCTTAAGCAACAGAAAAGGCTTCGCTTCGAAACGCAAATACAAAACGTCTCTAATATTAATTAGGCAACTATTTGTTCCATTTGTTGTTTACCGGCAGAAAGGCTTTCTAGCTGGCGCTCTGGCACAAATATCTACACAGGAGCACTCACATGGGGTCTCCGTTTCGGATGTGCTTGCAGGCGGTCTGGGTGACAGACTCGCAGGCCTCGTTCAGAGCGCGATCAATGCGATAGTCGGCCCCGGGGTCTGTTTCCTGTATCAGTGTCTGGAGCTGATGGGACACACACAGTTATAAAAGCCATAAATCACAGCCACTGCATTATTTAACATGAATGAATATCTCACGACTTCATTCACGATTTAAATCAATTCATCACAGGAAGTACTGAAACACAGTGAATGCATACGACTATGTATTATTATTACTAATTACTAAATATCTTGATATTTTTCAGCCTCTTGGTGATATTTATTATCTTCATATTTATGCATTTCTATTTTTTAAACCAGGATAATCAATATTTTGACTAAACAGCTATCTATCTATCCTGCCTCTCTCCATCTAAACAAAAATCTAAACAAAACAAACAAAAAAATAAACTAAAAGACAAACAAAAATCAACAGATACAATTATCTATCTATATCAAAACAAAAACTAAACTAAAAAACAAGAAAAATACATAACAAAAACAAAACATCTAAACGAAAACAAAGCAAAAAACAAAAACAAATACTAATAAAAAAACAAATCAGAAAAGCAAAAAATAACACAAAAAAAAAACTAAAACTAAAATACAAACATACACAAAAACCAAAAGATACAAATATCTATCGTTCTAAAAACAAACAAAGAAAAGAACAAACAAATACAAAAACAAAGGAAAAACTAAAAACTAAAATACAGAAAAACAATAAATACATCAATATCCATCTGTTTATTTATCGGTTTATAAAAAAAATAAAAACATGAACATAAAAAAATAAAAAATAAAATAAGTGAACTGTAATTTGACCAAGCCATTAGTATACTTTGTTTTGACACAATGGGTAAAATAGAGTTTCTGTTAATTAGTCAAATAGACACAGTAAGCCATAAATCACAGCCACTGCATTATTTAACATGAATGAATATCTCACGACTTCATTCACGATTTAAATCAATTCATCACAGGAAGTACTGAAACACAGTGAATGCATACGACTATGTATTATTATTACTAATTACTAAATATCTTGATATTTTTCAGCCTCTTGGTGATATTTATTATCTTCATATTTATGCATTTCTATTTTTTAAACCAGGATAATCAATATTTTGACTAAACAGCTATCTATCTATCCTGCCTCTCTCCATCTAAACAAAAATCTAAACAAAACAAACAAAAAAAATAAACTAAAAGACAAACAAAAATCAACAGATACAATTATCTATCTATATCAAAACAAAAACTAAACTAAAAAACAAGAAAAATACATAACAAAAACAAAACATCTAAACGAAAACAAAGCAAAAAACAAAAATAAATACTAATAAAAAAACAAATCAGAAAAGCAAAAAATAACACAAAAAAAAACAAAAACTAAAATACAAACATACACAAAAACCAAAAGATACAAATATCTATCGTTCTAAAAACAAACAAAGAAAAGAACAAACAAATACAAAAACAAAGGAAAAACTAAAAACTAAAATACAGAAAAACAATAAATACATCAATATCCATCTGTTTATTTATCGGTTTATAAAAAAAATAAAAACATGAACATAAAAAAATAAAAAATAAAATAAGTGAACTGTAATTTGACCAAGCCATTAGTATACTTTGTTTTGACACAATGGGTAAAATAGAGTTTCTGTTAATTAGTCAAATAGACACAGTATTCCAAAAAATATCTCTCTCCAAAATAATGCCAGATATAATTTTTTGCTAATACAAAATGTATCTGAGATATTCAAGATATCGACCGGACCAACCAGCATTTGAGTGCACCAAAGTGCATTTCCACTCACAGCTTTCTGGCAGTGGCCTTCCAAGATGCCCTTGTCCCGGGACACCCTCATGAGGCAGTGCAGGGTTCGACCCTTGTGGTGCAGGCCGGAGCAGTGCGTGTCAATCTCCCCTCTGCAATGCAGCACGATCTCGGGACTGAGCGAGTAATCTTCCATCAGCATGCGCCTGTAGTCCAGCATCTCTCCCTGACACTCGCCGCTCACGGTTTGACCTGCGACAGAACGAGCGCAAACATGAGGAAACCGGATCTATAGGGGGCAGAACCTGGGTCCGTCCGCATCGCACCAAAGCCTTACCTCGGTGCACGGTTGCCTCCAGACACAGCAGCAGGTACGAGAGCTTGGCCTCTCTGGCTCGAGGCATGGCCGTGTCCATGTTGCAGCGGTATTTACGCAGGTCCAGTTTGCAGGCTTTAGCCAGCGAGTAGCTGACCTTGTAGTCCTGAGCGATCAGCTTCTGACGAGTGGAAAGAGCGTCCTTGCACTGCGGAAAACACAGATACGCAAGTTCAAATGGAAAAATGTGTAATAATAAATAAATGTGTTTTAAGCAATTTTTCATTTTAACTGCTAGGTAAATAAACAGATGAGAAGAAATCATGGATAAAATGAAAAAAAAAGGCCACGAGTCAGACTTGAACCCATATTTTTCACACGAGCACCACAGCTCAACACACGTGTGCAACCATTTTAAAATGAAAACGCAAATATAGTAGAGCTGTCACAATATTAGAGTTTCTCTACGTGATTATTGTGGCAATTATCTACAGAACTTAAAAAAAATACAATAATGCTATCAGTCAAATTCATCTTTCACCGCTCATTTTTCTTTTTCTATTTTTAGTAAAATGAGTCAATAATTGGCCAATAATCTATGAGATTGAGAATTACATCGTCCGGGGGCGGGATACTTTTATATACAGTGTAATTGCCCAATGATATAACTGCGAGAGAAAGTATTGGAATATATATTTTCCTCCCATCTCGTATTTATTCCGTTTAGGGCTTCCGGGCTAATGTCGAACAGCCATCGTCTATCGGCCCACCCCTATTATCTAGTATGCTCATTTTCTGTACACCATCACTATAAACAGTTCTCAGTAATTGCTTCTGCAAAACAAGAACCACATATACCTTGTCAGACATGCTCTCCTCAAACTTGTGGTTGAACAGACATTTGTAGACCTTTCCTTCTCCTGCTGGAGTCTGAGACAAACGAACAGAGCAGACCATCAGCACACAGAAGTGCACAGTGAGCGTGTATTAGAGGATTACGGCGTACGTTTTCGCAGAAGTGCTCGCGGTCTTCCCGACAGGCGAAGTAGAGATGGCGGTCGAGGTGGAAGTCGTCGGAGGAGAGCTCTGCCACGCGCATGATTGACTTCTTACAGTCCTCTTTGATGGTGTACTGACCCGGCTGCTCCTCGGCTTCAGACACCAGGCCTTTCTCCAGACACGCGATCACCTCGCCCTGAGAGTGGCTGTCCTGTAGAGAACGGGGCATGCGCGCTTAGGACAGACAACAGTATTTCATGGCAGTTTAACAAGCTGAACTGAACTGTAGTTTAAATCTCAGACCAGCTGATTGAAAACTGAACCGGCTAAAGTGAAGAACTAGCCAACTGCCTCTGAATCAGTTGACAGCTCCCATTACAACAAAGCACTGGTCCTAAAAAGGCTTTGTCCGTCATGCTAATCAGAGCTACAAGAACTTGGATCTTCATTCCATCAAAGTTAATTAATGGGAAAATTCAGCCATTTACTCACCCTCAAAAAGAGTCTTTCGTTCATCGTTTATGCTTGATGTGCGAGAACAAACCTCATTGGTTTTTGTGTGCTTCAAACAAGCAAGTTTGATCTTCTGTTGACCATATTTGAAGTGCTTTATGCATGTACGCTGACCAACGTTTAAATGTGAATAAAAGCCTATGGATTACTTCTAAGATGTCTTTAAGATCATTTTGAAGTGTTAAAGCTTCGGACTTGAGTGACAAATCTCTCCGGTTTCATTAAAAATATCTTCATTGTGCTTTAAAGATGAATGAAAGTCTTATGGGTTTGGGATATTTGAAGTTGTAGTATCAATTTTGGCAATTTTCTTCTGTGGGTGAAGTATCCTTGCATTATAATGCTGCCCGATATTAACATGCTTATCGTCACATTATGGCCAATAAATACTATTTTGTCAAAAACTAAAACATCAAAAATCAGTCAATTCTACAAATTAGGCATCACAGCACTGTAATGCACAGTATGAGAAATTGCTATTCATTTTGATTCACTTAATATTAAATTTAAGAGTGTTATTAAACATTATATATTTGAGTGAGTGTTAAATGATGACAAAGGTAATCTAAACGTTAAAATAAGTTAAATGAGCATGCATAATTAAATATCCAATATCAACCAATGAAAAAAAAACTGAACTGTTTCAAGAACAACTTCAAACAGAGTTGCAAAGATGAATAAAATAAAGAGTTCTAAAAAGCATGTATTTGTTGCTTTAGTGTTCGGCTACAGTCCTGTATTTGACACTAATGTAGCAGAAACTTGCAGAGCTGCTAAAAATACTGGCACTGTTATCAGAAAGCATCAAATAGTAAACAGTGGTTTAAGAAAAAAAAGGAAACAAGTGTTACATCCTTTTTCAAAGACTGTGGTCATACTCCTGCTTTCAGTTACCCACAATGCACCTGGGCTTACCTTCTCTCCAGTGTTGACGCTTCCACAGTGCAGTTTGTTGATGTCGTCCTTGCACTTGTCCATGAAGCCGCAGATCAGCCGGTAATCGCTGAAGACGATGCTGGTCATCTTGGTGATGTACTGGTTACACTGGTACTCGGAGATGTTGGTGCGGTGATCTACTAAACACGACACCAGGTAACCCTTCCCACGTTCCTCAGCGGCACACTCCTTAATCTGGAGACAAACCAGGTTTAAACGATTTCGGTTTACAGTGACTTTGTGGTACAGTTTGAGATAAAAGTTGGTTTTCCTTCGCCACCTCTATGCATACTGACCCCACTGATGGTGGTCTTGCACACCTCAACGGCGACAGACTCAAACTTCGGATCAGTCGTCAGATTGAGCTTGTAGTTCCACAGCAGCTAAGAATAAACCAGGACGATTTATTTGCATAACTTAATCTTACAGTACTGAATGAATAATGATGTTTACTTAGGGATGTCTCGATATTATCGTGGTCACTTGACGATATTAAACTATAGCTCTTCCGGGCAAAAAGTGTAGTTTTTTAAATATATGTAAACTTCTTATGCTAACATAAAAGGTCTTTAAAGTTGTGTTTTGGGCCATTATGCTTTGGCGGGGTATCTGTCAAAAGAACTAAAACACAATATGGCTTAGGGGCCGTTTACACAACAATGTTTTCATCCAAAAACTGGAAACTTTTTATGCGTTTTGCGTGTTTGTTTAAACGACAACGGCGTTTTGGGGACTGAAGGCGCATATTTTTGAAAACGGGTTTCAAAGTGCAAGATTTTGAAAACGCCACCGTTATCGTTTCCGTGTAAACAACAATACGGGAATCTTTGAAAACGGTGACGGCATGCGCGTGCGTAGTACGTGTTAGGTATGTAGACATGCGCAGTACGTGTCGATTTTAAAGGCAAGCGCGAACAAACATACACAACAACGGCGGAGTACATGGTACGGTATCTGTCAAAAGAACTAAAACACAATATGGCTTAGGGGCCGTTTACACAACAATGTTTTCATCCAAAAACTGGAAACTTTTTATGCGTTTTGCGTGTTTGTTTAAACGACAACGGCGTTTTGGGGACTGAAGGCGCATATTTTTGTAGTACGTGTTAGGTATGTAGACATGCGCAGTACGTGTCGATTTTAAAGGCAAGCGCGAACAAACATACACAACAACGGCGGAGTACATGGTACTGTTGTTGCTGCTCAAGAGTTTGCTAACGCTTCTTCAGAAAAGTGTGGCTTTATTTATGGAGACGCATCATAAACATCATATACTCGTCACTTCCCTACAGGTGCTGTTTACTAACAAGGTGACAGCGCCAACTACTGGCCTGGCAAACGTAATACAGCGTTTTTCGCCGTTTTCGCGGATGTGTGTAAACACGAATAGTTTTGAAAACGTTGTCGTGTATACGTGAAACTTTTTGAAAACGCAAGGGAAAAACGTTTTCATTTTTGACAACATCGTTGTTGTGTAAATGTAGCATTAATCCCTTCATCAAGTCTGTTTCAAAGCGAAGCGCACACATTGATGAGGCGATCAGCTCATGATCCGGTGATTTCCGCGCCGCAGAACGGCTTTGTTCACAACTTATAAATGCAGTGAACTCGTTTATTGCAGTGCAGTGCTGTGTTTAGCTTGGGAACGCAACGCCACCAGTTAGGCTTTATTTTCGTGGTAGATGATTACAGCATTTCACTAGATTTGTAGTGCGACGCATTTTTGTAAGCCTGTTTTCACTGAACCGGAGTTTTCCTTCAAAATAAAAGATAGAAAGAATTTTAGATAAGATAGAAGAATTTAACTAAAATGTACAAAATCTTAATTTTTTCCCAATTCTTTATTGGTCTTTTTTTTTTATTTTATATTGCAATAAATATTGTATCGTGGACTTTGTATCGTGGTATTATTGTATCGTGAGATTTTGATATCGTTACATCCCTAATGTTTATACTTCTGATACTCAATATTTTATTATTTTAAATTATATTGTTTTCATTTTTAAATTAACCAATTTAGACATTAGCCTAACTGAAAAAAGACAAGAAATGCAAAATTAAACAAAAGATTAAAACACTTCACATTATTTGAAAGTGAGAATGTTTATATCTGTTGCATTAAAACAAAAACATAAAAACAAACAAAACCAAAACAATAGTTAACCTCTTTTGGTTTGATATATCAACAAAATAAACTCCAGCTAGTTTGTTTGGGTTTAACTATCAACCTTCATTCAGATCAACATTCAGGACCAAAAATAACAGGAATAGTGTGTAAACACTTACATGATTGCAGTCTGAAGCGATCTCTGTCTCCTAAAGAGAGATTAAAAATAGAAAATATAAATTATAAAAGTGTTCACACAGACAAAAGTAATAGGCATGTGCAAAACGACATGAATTTCAAGACTAGCCCTGTATAATTACACTGGTTTTGGGTTCACCCCAATATTTAAGGAACATTTAAAACATTGTATTGTGCTTAAAAACAAGTAGAATAAGTGCAACAATATAACTGAACGCAGTGCCTCAAAGAGCATTTTGTTGTGGGATGCTCAAAACATTGTGACACTTCAGCAACCAAAAATGTCTGAATATGTATGGCTGTAGTACTGGTGCTTTAAAAGAGATTCAAAAAGACAAAAGAGCCAAGAAAAGAGAGTTTTACCACACAAACAAAGCTATGCTTAAACATATCAAAACTAAAATAAGAAAAAAAAACAAGACCACAGGAGTCGCAGTTGCTGGACAACAAGTCAAATATCATGACCCATCCCTAATAAACAATGCATAAAATAATAACAGTTGCTAATGTTTGTAGATGTGCGTTATATTTACTTTTAGGCTTCTGAAATGTATTTGCATTAATTTGTGACCCCAGGCAGATGCAAACAGAAATCAGCTTCCTGCTGCACATTCTGTGTGTGGACTGCTAATATTTAACAAGAGTTTTAGATGATGACTATCAGATAATTAACATTCTGACAAAAATTAAACATTCGAGTATGAAAATTCATTATTAAAACACCCTAATTAAACTTCAGGCTCTTTTTAACTTCAGTTTAGGCAGATTGAACAGAACGAGGTGAAAGAAATCAGTACATCCAAAATTTTACTTTTAGTATCAGCAAATTCAAATCACACAATCTGGTGGATTTACATTAATGCTGGAAGGATATTGGTTCACATTCTCCTGGAGAATCAAATGTGTGCCGAGTAAATACTGTGAGTGTCAAATGACAAAGCACACCGTTTAAAGCTACCATACCAAAACGCACTGGTAATTTGCATTGTAGTGCGACGCATTTTTGTAAGCCTGTTTTCACTGAACCGGAGTTTTCCTTCAAAATAAAAGATAGAAAGAATTTTAGATAAGATAGAAGAATTTAACTAAAATGTACAAAATCTTAATTTTTTCCCAATTCTTTATTGGTCTTTTTTTTAAATTTTATATTGCAATAAATATTGTATCGTGGACTTTGTATCGTGGTATTATTGTATCGTGAGATTTTGATATCGTTACATCCCTAATGTTTATACTTCTGATACTCAATATTTTATTATTTTTAAATTATATTGTTTTCATTTTTAAATTAACCAATTTAGACATTAGCCTAACTGAAAAAAGACAAGAAATGCAAAATTAAACAAAAGATTAAAACACTTCACATTATTTGAAAGTGAGAATGTTTATATCTGTTGCATTAAAACAAAAACATAAAAACAAACAAAACCAAAACAATAGTTAACCTCTTTTGGTTTGATATATCAACAAAATAAACTCCAGCTAGTTTGTTTGGGTTTAACTATCAACCTTCATTCAGATCAACATTCAGGACCAAAAATAACAGGAATAGTGTGTAAACACTTACATGATTGCAGTCTGAAGCGATCTCTGTCTCCTAAAGAGAGATTAAAAATAGAAAATATAAATTATAAAAGTGTTCACACAGACAAAAGTAATAGGCATGTGCAAAACGACATGAATTTCAAGACTAGCCCTGTATAATTACACTGGTTTTGGGTTCACCCCAATATTTAAGGAACATTTAAAACATTGTATTGTGCTTAAAAACAAGTAGAATAAGTGCAACAATATAACTGAACGCAGTGCCTCAAAGAGCATTTTGTTGTGGGATGCTCAAAACATTGTGACACTTCAGCAACCAAAAATGTCTGAATATGTATGGCTGTAGTACTGGTGCTTTAAAAGAGATTCAAAAAGACAAAAGAGCCAAGAAAAGAGAGTTTTACCACACAAACAAAGCTATGCTTAAACATATCAAAACTAAAATAAGAAAAAAAAACAAGACCACAGGAGTCGCAGTTGCTGGACAACAAGTCAAATATCATGACCCATCCCTAATAAACAATGCATAAAATAATAACAGTTGCTAATGTTTGTAGATGTGCGTTATATTTACTTTTAGGCTTCTGAAATGTATTTGCATTAATTTGTGACCCCAGGCAGATGCAAACAGAAATCAGCTTCCTGCTGCACATCCTGTGTGTGGACTGCTAATATTTAACAAGAGTTTTAGATGATGACTATCAGATAATTAACATTCTGACAAAAATTAAACATTCGAGTATGAAAATTCATTATTAAAACAACCTAATTAAACTTCAGGCTCTTTTTAACTTCAGTTTAGGCAGATTGAACAGAACGAGGTGAAAGAAATCAGTACATCCAAAATTTTACTTTTAGTATCAGCAAATTCAAATCACACAATCTGGTGGATTTACATTAATGCTGGAAGGATATTGGTTCACATTCTCCTGGAGAATCAAATGTGTGCCGAGTAAATACTGTGAGTGTCAAATGACAAAGCACACCGTTTAAAGCTACCATACCAAAACGCACTGGTAATTTGCATGTCAATTAATTCTTTGGAAGGAACCGAAAGGTTAAAACGTACAGCAATGTTTGGCATGACAAGAAGAACAAGTATTCTGCAATAATCCTGTGACTGATGACTGAGCATTTAAGTTTGACAAATGTGTGACATTGCCTGCAAAATGAAAGCTAAGACAAATATGAGGACACGGTGACATGAAGAACTAGAGAGAAGGTCAGCATCTGTAGAAACTGAGAGAGTATGTCTTCAACATTGCCTTTGGCAGCTTTAATAAAAAAATAGAGGCCTTTTAAATGACATTTTATTCCTTTGCTAATAAAATACTCTTTGTGATGTGAAAACTTCAGCAGCCAAGAGCAATCAACATAACGGTAGGGTCTCCCTAACTGTGCTGGCTTGATACTGATCTTTATTTGAACAGCTGAGAACAAGCCCAGGCAGAAAGCATCCCCGGCATAGCACAGGACAGCTGTTAACGGCCCGCTGTAAATATCAAGCGTGCAATACTTGACTCTCATGGAGATGAAGGCCTTGATAAGTATCACAATGTTACTAAAAAAAGCATCCAAACCCAATCAAAGACACAGCAACCTGTTTTGACCTCGGCCTGTGCTGAGAGCGTCTTCTTAGCCTTTGATATTTTTAACAGGATTTATTAACTCTAAAAGGATTTAAAGCTACAGCTTCTCTGTGCAATTATGCTGCATCTGTCTATACTATATAATGCAAGTGAAAAGGATAAAATTATAACCCTGTATGATTGCGAAGCAATATTAGGATACTGCTTAGAGACCAGAAAAATCACTGCTTATTTGGACTGTTGTCACCTCAACATATAAAAGGCCTAGCAACAAGATCTTTTCTCCAGCTGTGTCAGGATTTTATTTTAGAAAACAGCATTTTTAAAAAGTCACCAGGGCCTTTTGCCTCCAGCAGATGATAAATTATGGAGGTAAACAAACTGTCTCCATTCAGTCTTTATTTATGAGAAACAATGAGGAACATTGTACAGCTAAATAATTGACCTTAAAGTAAGGACTCGCACTGACAGTGATTCTCCATGGGAAGAGAAAGTCTAAAGTTCAGTCTGAGAAAAACACGGAAAACTCTGAAGGATATATTCACATGATCATTAAGCAATAAAATGTTACAAACTGAAAAACAACCTGAACTAGATCAAGTGATTACCCCAACAAACCTGTAACAGCGATGACAAAATGACCTATAACAGCTGAGAAACAAGCTGCAATGGTAATGAACAGCCAGAGAAAAAAACCTGTCACAGTGACGAACAGCCAGAGAATTGACCTGTAATATGATGAACAGCTGAGAAATAACATGTAACGGTGATGAACAGCCAAAAGAAATAACATGCAATGGTGATGAACAGCTGATAAATAACATGTAATATGATGAACAGCCAAATAATTAGCCTGTCATGTGATGAACAGCTGAGAAATAACATGTAATGGTGATGAACAGCTGAGAAATAACCTGTAATGTGATGAACAGCCAGAGAAATAACATGTAATATGATGAACAGCTGAGAAATAACATGCAGTGGTGATGAACAGCTGAGAAATAACCTGTAATGTGATGAACAGCCAGAGAAATAACATGTAATATGATGAACAGCTGAGAAATAACATGCAATGGTGATGAACAGCCAAATAATTAGCCTGTAATGTGATGAACAGCTGAGAAATAACATGTAATATGATGAACAGCCAGATAAATAACATGTAATGGTGATGAACAGCTGAGAAATAACATGCAATGGTGATGAAAGTAGGGATGCACCGATAAGGAAATTTTGGCCGATACCGATAACTGATAACTCTTTATATTTGGAGGCCGATAGCCGATATATAGGCCGATAAATATACATATTAATTTTTCTGAGCATGATTGCAAAAACAAAAAGGCAAACACATACAGTGAACAACTGATTTTATTTTAAAACCTTAACTTCAGAAAAGTTTGAACTGATCTCTGAACTTTATTAACTATTCATTTCTATGGCCAACTTTCTTTTATATAAATAAAAGCTATTGCCTTGACAAAAAACAATGCATAAATAAAGTAACCAAGTCACTGAACAACATTACTTACATAATCAAAATACCAATCACATAATAAAATTATTCTTATACAGCATGACTTTGTGTGAATTTAACAGAAAGGCCAACTAGAAATGTTACAGGATTGTCTGGCTACTTCATCTGTGAATGTAAGAGTGGGATGTTTTTTTTAATGAAGAGAAGCATTTCAGCTTTCTCACACATAAGTCTGTTTCTCTTTTCATCAATCACATTTGATGCCGCTGAGAAGAGACGTTCGCTGTCAACGCTGGTACAGGGAGCTGACAGGTATTTGCGTGCAGCTTGGCCCAGGGCTGGAAAACGGGACATATTGCTTTTCCAAAACTGCAGTGGGCTCTCACTCCTGGAAATGGGTGGCTCACTTAGATATGCAATTACCTACAAAGAACAATAAATAATGTATTACAATACTTTCTTCAGTATAACACACATAAGCTTGTAAATTTAAACACTGTAAAAAACAACAACTAAAACCCATGCTGTATATACAGCTTGCATTCACAGCTAGCATTCGTTTCAGCTTAATTATATTAAAGACTTTTAAAAAAAATATTTATAAATGTTGAATTCTGCTCAACTTATTTTGATGTTACAGTAATGTATATATGTCATATTGATCATATTTTTTAGAGTGAAGCTAAAACATTAGAGCATGTTTTGTACTCTATATTGCAGATGTCAAATAAAATGTTATTTCTTATTTTGCTGTTTTTTTTGTTTTGTTTTTTTTTTTAATATGAGGGGGGAAAAATAATTTACCTGCTGTCCTACTGGAGATGTTTGGTGCGTCTGGTGTTCTGTGGCCATGTTTTCTTCAAGAATTTCACCATACATGTCAAGCAGGGATGTTGCGCCTCCGTCGCTCTCGGTGCACGTCTTTTTTAAAGGGGGCTCTGTCTCATTTCTCTCTTTCTCCGTGCTATTTTCAAGTTCTGTCATCTTGTTCAGTTGTCTCAGCAGCATTTCTGTTGCTCGCTGTTTGGTGGCTTGATCAAAAAAGCGATCTTTGTACCTTGGGTCAAGGATCGTTGCCAAGAAGTACAAAGGCTCGGTGTATATGCCGTTAAACCGCTGCTTCACAGCCTCCAGCAGAGTAGCTTTTGTCGTCTTCACACCACTATCTGTACTAAGACTCTTGTCCAGTAAACGTTTCAGAGCCTCAACAGAGGGAATCACGTCTGAAGCAATTGCTGTGTGTGAACTTATTTCTCTCGTCAGTTCTTCGAAAGGCACAAGCAGTGTTACTGCATTTTCAATAAGGCCCCACTGGTACGCGCTGAAAGATGCGGGAAGCTCGAATTCTGCCCCATATGCACCAAGTGCTCGCTTCTGTGCTAACAAACTCGACATCATATAAAACGTACTGTTCCAACGTGTCGGAGTGTCTTGTTGCAGCATCTTTTTTGACAGTCCTAGCTCTGTCTGTATCTCTCCAAGTCGGGACATGGCAAGGTGAGAATGTTTGAAGTGCCCGACTATCTTTCTCCCTATCGCCATACAGTCGGAAATGCTGCGCTGGCTCAGAACTCCGTCATGCACGGCTAACTGGAGAGTATGAGCCATGCAGCCAAGACTGTTCAATCCACAGTCTTCGATGGCTTTAACCATATTGCGGCCATTATCTCGCAGCACAGCATGTACCATATCTTTAGTTATGTTCCACCTAACGAACATGCTCTCGAGTGCCCTCGCTATAGCAGCGCCGGTGTGAGAGCCTGGGCATTCTTGCGCATGCAAAATTACTCTCCTCATCTCAAAGTTTTCCTCAATCCACTGAGCAGTAAGGCTCAACATACTCACTGGACTTACGTCAGAGCTCCATATGTCAGTTGTGAAACTTATATCTGTCACATTTTTGCCCAAAATCATGTGGGTGTGAGCTGCCACTTCATTGTATAGAGCGGGGAGCGAAACGTCAGCATCTGCTTGTGCGACGTCACA